AAATAACAGTCCTGATAACCAATGGATCACAGGGGAAAAAATTAGGGGAACTAGAAAATACTTCCAAGAGGCAAGAAAATAAAACATGGAGACTTATGAACTGCCTGGGACAATGCTAGGAAAGTAAGATTTGGAACTGCACATTAATAGGTTCATAAACTAGAAAGGCCTTTTGACCTGTAACCTCACCATCCCCTCTCACCAGGGGAAGAGCAGAGCAGAGCAAGGAAAACATGAGCACAGAAAAGAGGGTAACATGAAGCCAGACACCGGAAGGGTCAGCAAAGCCAGAGTTGGCTCCTTTTGAAAAACAGTCAGCACATCTTTAGCCAAACTGACCAAGGGGAAAAGGAGACTAAATTCCTAAAGTCAGGAGTGAAAGAGTCACATTGCTGCCAACCTTATAGATGTGGGAAGGAAATAGAGTAGGTACTGTGGATGAGGACGTGTTCTCAGATAGAAAGATTACAAATTACAGCTCCAAAAAGATCTTAGTGTGTACAGGGAAGTTTTCACATTGCAACTGCTTGATTAGAGAATTCTAGTAGACATTGAAAATTAGGATTGTTCCTGCAAAGACTTTTTTAAAAAATGGGAAAAGAAGGTGTAGTGTGCAGCTCAGCCTGTGGGGTTAGTGTTACCCTGAAAAACAAGTCAGCTTTTAGTTTATGCCATAAATGCAAAAATCCTAAACAACTAGCAAATAAATCCAGGAGAATTAAACAAACAAACCAACAGAGAGGATTATGTACGAGCAAGTGGGATTTATTCTGAAACAAGTCAGGAGTCATACTGGAATATGCCTTGCTGATAGATTCAGCCCCAGGAAGAGCGTCTGAGAAAGTCCAACACACTTTCATATCAGAGTTCAGCAGTTTACAAACAGGGAACTGTTTCCATCTGTTAAAAAGCCCACAGACAACATTGTAGCAACATATTTCATGTGACATTTTTGTCTGTGTGTGGTGGTATGAAAGTGTTAAGTCAATTGGGGTAGATAATGTATATCATTAAAATTCATCTTACCTATGCTTAAAGTGGCTCCTAGGAAAATTTAGCATACGGGACTGGAGTTTATGTAATGTCCCTCATTGCCTTTGGATACTGCAGTTCCGTGCCAGGGCTGCCAGGTTACAGCAGGTGGGTCCTTCACTTTGCCCTGTGGGGACCAGATGATAAACAGATGAGGGACCAGAGGGATTGATGGACGGGGTAGAGAAATAGACAAGGGATGGGGGGTATATTGGAATAAAACTTCTATGGAGTTACTAGTTTTATTTTCATGATTTTCCAGCCTGAAACAGCAGAAAAAACAAAACAAAAACAAAAACAAAAAAAAAAAAAAAACAAGAGCAGAGCAGCTGAGGGTGAAGGCAGCTCAGGACTGGATGGCTGCTTTTTCTGTTGTGCCTGCATGGAATCTGTCAGTGAGAAGGCATTTAGGGAAGGCCAGCTTAGTGCTTGATTCTGTCCCATTGCAATATTTCAGGATGCTAAGGAGAGCCAAGGTGGCTAGATACTGGTGACATTTGTCATTATGAATTTGTGGTTGTCAGGGTTTCTGGATAGGAAATATATTTATCTTTGAAACCTGCCATATACAAAAGCCGTTCATAAGCATCTATCTGAGTTCTCCTGGCGAGCACAGCAGTTAACATCTCTACAGATCACTTGTCCCTTGCTTTCTGATTGCTGTGGAGAAGCTCTTTGGTGATGCCATCCCACCTGCTCTCTTGGCCTTGTTGTCTATACTTTTGGAATTAGATCCCAGAAAATCGTTGATCAGATCAAAACACAGGTGATTTCTTGTAGCAGTTTCCTATGTGAGTTGGTTTCTCGTTGATTCAATTCAGCAGTAAGTAGTTTTGTGAGGAAATATGGTTTTCCGCACTAACGGGACGTCTTCATTCTGTCTGCCTTTGCATGCTTCATAGAATATTGGCACTTTCTGCATGGCACACTGATTATTTACTTGGCTTGTGCTGTGTGGCTGCAGACAATCTTATAGCATAGCGTTTTAGATTGTTGACAGCTTTGTTACTGACCTTTGTAAAAAAGATAAAAACACTGCTGCTTTTGGAGAGTTTCTAGAAATGTCTTTTTGACTTGGCATTTCAATTTCTTAATTATTTGGGGCACTGGAGGAATGGGGAAGCTGGAACACAAACACTCAGACAGTTTTCTCATGATAAAAAGAAGTGGTCAAAATAATTCCTCAAGTCCATGTTGAAAGGCCAGCCATTGTGAGGTTATGAAGAAGCTGTGTGGGGAAGGCTGTCAGCTGTGAGACGCAGGGATATGACTAGGGATGGGTGACACTCAGGGGTGGGGGACGATTTACTTTGGTATTTTAGAACATGCTAACAGATCAAACTTTGTAATTTACACTTCAGTGTAGGTGTGTCATTCCAGAGAGACTCTTAATGGGGTTCTGACGGTTGAACCTACACCATTGTTTATGTAACCTTAAAACAGACTCATGGATCCAGGGAACAGGTTAGAAGCTGTCAGGGTGAGGTGTCCAGAAGGTCCTGTCTATGTGTGCTTTGCGTGTTCTGCATCTTTTGTGTTTGGTGAGGAAGCATTTAGTGGTGGTATGCCTTCTTACGGTCCTTTTCAAGTGCCTTGGTAAAATCTGTTAGCATTTGCTTCTCTTTTCTTCCATTCTGCTGTGTCTTTATTCCTATGTGTGGTTCTTGTGAGCAGCATGTATTTCTGCCTTGCTTTTTAACTCTAAGTTGCTGCTTATGAAAGACCTGCAGAGTGTGGACCTTCACGCCCCCACTCAGGAAAGATGCCCCCCCCAAAAAAAACATCACTTACGAGAAGCGGTCTTGATGTAAAAGCATGAGGTCTTTCAGACCCTTGACATGTGGATGTGATCGTCAGTGTAGCCGGGGTTGAATCTGCTGTCCTGCTTTCCCTGTTTGTTTATCACGCGTTCTTTGTGTCTTTTTTGCCCTCTTCTTTTGGGTTAAGTGAATATCTTTCATAATTCAGTTTCATCTACTTTATTTTTTTATGACAGATTTGTTTTTGTTTCATAATTTCAGTGACTGCTGTAGAGTTTCTTGTATGTGTATTTAATTGGTCGAGTCTACCGCCAAGTGCTGTTCATCACCTCACATGTGACACAAGAAACTCACTAGATAGTATCCTTAAGTTTCTTTTCTCCTGGACTTAAGCAGCTGTCATACATTTTCTGTGTATTTATGTGAACACTACTCTAAATTATTTTATCAAGCAGCCAATAATCAATCCTTAAAGAGATTAAAATAATACAAACAACTCCCCCTTTTTAGTTGCATGTTCTCCTGTTCAGATTCCTGCATCTAGCCTTACGATCCTTTTGCCTGAAGGATCGCCCTTAGCTTTCCTTCCTTGTGATACATGTGTGTTACTGATTACTTCTTTCAGCTCTTGTATGCCTGACGTTTTCTACCCTCCTCCTTTTCCAAAGGTAGTTAGTTTTTCTGTGGCTGTGCTGTTTTACTTTATGGATGTTTCTGGATTGTCTTTTGCCTTGCTTCTCTGTACATACTATGGTTGCTTTTAAGGTTTTTCTCTTTATTATTGGTTTTGGACTATTGATTATGTTGGGTTTCTTCTTATTTCTTCTTCTTCTTCCTACTCCTCCTCTTCCTCCTCCGTGTGCTTTGGGGTCACTGAGCTTCCTAAATGTGTGAGTTTATAGCTTTCCTCAGATTGGAAGTATTTCATATGTGTTTTTTCAGATGTTTATCTTCTCATTTCTCCTCTTTTGAAAGCTTCCAACACACACACACACACACACACACACACACACACACACACACGGAGGTTTGAAGTTGTCCCAAAGATCCAGATTTCATTTAAAAAATTTTCTGTGTTTTTAGAGTGTTTTGTTACCAAATGAATTTTCAGCTCCTGATTCCTTTAGTGTCTGTGTGAGTTTTGACTGTGCTGCTCAGTCTATTGAAGGTGTCATCTTGGTCTGCATGTTTTAATCCATGTAATTAAAACTTTGACAATCAGAAACTGTAGAAAAACAATACAGACACTTGCTTTCTACAGATTAAAGTAAATCTGTTATAATTAAGTCTTGAAGTGCTGACACTAAGACAGACACAGATTAACAGATCAAAAGTAGAATGTCTACAGACAGACCACAAATGAATTTGAATGTTTAGTATAAAAATTTTCATGGTGGGCTCATTCCGTGAGCTTTGATACAGATGGCCAACCCATTAAAAAATTAAAGTTGGATATCTTTCCCATATTTTATACTCAGAGTATATTCTTCATTGGTTAAGTACAGTAGCCACAGAAAATATAGGAAATATACATACTTGTGAGGAAGGTTTTCTAAAGTATGACACAAAAGACACAAGCATAATGAAAAATAAGATTATACAGATTTATATCTTTTTATGGCAAAATGATAATTAGAAACAGCTAAAATACAGTTACTGTTCTTTATTGTATAAATGCTACTCATAAAATAATTTTTTTATAAAGATGAAAAACCCCACTGAGAAGGTGAGCAAGGAATATGATTAATGGTGTCAGAAATGAAAAATAGGGGTCCAATTAATATTTATTAAAAATGTCTTTCATAGTAATAGCTATGATTTATTTTACATATCTGTTTGATTATGCTAAATGCCTTTGGCTACTTAGTTTAAATTTTAAAAAATATATACTGTCATCACCGTCTTCTAAAAGGAGATTGAGACTGGAGAGAAGACCGTTCGTCAAGGTGAGGAAGCTTACATCTGACTCCAGAGCATGCTCTCATCCCTTCCGCTAGAGCTAAACTAACTCTACTTCAAATTCCTTCGTGGATCCCCTGGAAAACAGCCGTTTACCGAGGGTCACAGGGCTCATAAACGATAAGTTAAACGTTTTAGAAAGAAAGATTGCTAAGTAGAAAAAGGGAGACGGGAAAGTGAAGGCACAGTCTTGTCCTTCCTCAAAGTGAAACTGAACCTAGACTTCTCAGAGTCTCTGTTTCTTTTCAGAATATTTAAAAGATGCCTCAAAGAAGACGAAGAGTGGTCTCCTGTTTGTAAAACTGGCCAACCCGCGCTCAGGTGGGTCTGGCTTCCTCAGGTCCTCTCATCCTTGAATATTGCCAGCACTGTGCTGTGTGTGGAATGCTTGCTTGCCTGTGTCATTTTGAATTAGCTTAAAAGTTCACAGCACCCTGTGGTGGAAAATCAATCTGATTAATTTTCCGAGATAAATCACACTGAACACTGCAAAGGTCTTTTTTATAGTTCTCCACAGAATGCCGAATCGTTAGAAATGTTGGCTACATAGGAAAGCAGCGTGTTTTTCTCTCCGGATATGGGTTGATTTCCTTGGTTTTCTTATGCCAGTTTTTCTTAGTGTGCTTACCCAACACTAGCCTGCATTTATGTTCATTTTGTGTCGTACAGTGAAATAAACAGCCCGAGAGCAAGCACAGAAGACCGTCTTGGGCACGTCATGATTTTGGTTGGTTTCGTTTTTTAGCTGTTCATTCTTTCACTCTAACCTTTTACATGATGATTTTTCTTTTATTAAAATTATTGTATATTGGAGAGCCTTATGTTTTACCGAGTGGTAAGTTTATTTTAATTTTATATTCAGCACATTTTGTTTTGTAATTTTGGGTAAAAGTATTAAAATACACTCAGCTATGAGGTGAAGCTGGATTTCCCTTCTGTGGTCTGTAAGGACCCAAGTAAGCACCTGGTGCCTGTGTATTGGGGCACCCCTGGTGGCTGTGTCGCTGCATAGTCAGGGAGGAAAAGTTGCACCCATCGGTAGTGGGTTTTTTTTTTTTTTTTTTTTTTTTTTTTGAAAGATGTATAACTTAAGCAATGAGAGTAAAACAGAGCAAAAACAAACACCCCACGCCATTCAGTGTCTTTCCTCCAAGTGAAATTCAGCATGCCTGTTGAGACACACTAGAACAGGCAGGGTTGAGATGAGGAATTCAGAGGGTTTTAGATGGCAGTCCCGTTCCCACACACTTAACAACAGCAAGTGACTTCCTCACAACTCCAGTTTAATCTAGATGTGTACAGATGAGTGTTGTTGTATCTTCACTACTGGCAGAGGGAAAAGGACTAAGCCAAGCACGTTCTTTGTCCTGGGTAGTACTCTAGGAAATGTACGGGTGTTTTCTTTCGTTTGGTCCTCATACAACCCCTGTCAGGTAGATCAGTATTGCCCTGTATCCAGATGAGCAAGCTGAGTTGTAATGAGGGTTAGGTAACGTCTCCAGTGTCACACTAGGCATCTGAGTCCAGAGATTTCAGAGGTTGCTCTGCAGTTAGAAAAAGGTTTGATGAGTTGAGGATAAAATATTGGATATGTATCCCTTCTCTCCCCGTTTCTCTCAGTTACTGAGGACTGACCCTGGACCCAAGTTAGGGCTAAAACCTCAGATATGCACAGTCTGTACCCCTCCTGGCCCCACACATCTGATTTGCTGAGGATTGAACCCCAGACCTGGCACGTGCTGGGCAAGTGCTTTACCCCAGACTGAGCTGAGCCCTAGCCCTCCTCTTCTCCCCTTTAAAAGAATAAATGGAAATTTCCATCCTTTTGACAAGGCTTGAAGAGTGTCCTTCCTGTTCTCAGCACAGTGGCCAGTGGTGACTGAGGATGGTGTTCTTGTCTTTGTTCCTATGTATGGGGAGCTACGTGCTGGCACAGGGACAGACCCAGGCCCTAGCTCACACATCTGTTAGAACCATTAGAATTTGGTAGTGTAACAATCAAGGTAAATGACTTGTGCCTTTCACTTTTGTGGTTTAAGTTTAGTGAGGATTATGGAGCTGGAAACTGAATGTCTGTGTTTAATACCTCTAAGTGTTCCTTGGAGTCTGCGAGTGTAGAGCATGACGTTATATGTTGAGGTTCCTACTGGAAGCATTCCTCAGAACTCTAGACAGACTTTTGATGTACATATGTATGTGAGAAAAGTGATGAGTACTGAACACATTTGTGTTGCAGGGGAAGGAGCCTTTTATTTATTTGATATGTGTCTGCAGCAGCTGTTTGAAATAAAAGTTTTCAAGGAAAAACACCGTTCATGGTTTATAAATCAATCAGTTCAATCAGGTAAGTGACAGATATATGTATGTATGTATGTATGTTATTTATGTAATTTTTTTCCCTACCATTACTAACTAAACATACTCCACATCTCATGTGGGTGTGGTTCATTCTCCTGGTTTGAAGTGTATTAGTGAGGAACTTGTCTGTGTATCAGAAAGGGTTTGGACCAAGTGAAGCTAAGTCATTTGTCACATGTTAAACTGACAATTCTGATTTATCTCCTAAAACACCAACACATCCTCTGGCAGGGCTAGATGCCCATGTGCTGTGGAATGCCGGTTGAGTTGAGTTCCTTTAGAAGGGTTTTTAACATATTATTTCCTTGAGCAAAGTGGTACAGTTTCTAAAGCATACTGGAATGTAACAACGGTTTTAAGAAGTGGTTTCTCATGTAACTTACTGTGCCTCTTTCAGCCAGGTTTCCTGTCACTGTCACATAATAAACACATGCCCTAGACTGTCAGCCCATTAGAAGAGAAGATATTCTGTGGTTCACAGTCTGGAGGTTTCAATCCACAGTCCCGTGGGCTGGTTGGTTTTGAAGTAACACATCATGGTGGCACCATGTGGCCAAATCACTCACTTCCTGGCCAAGAACCAAAGAGATAGAGAGCAAGAAAGACCCATGGTTCCCCCCCCCCTTTCTGGGGGATCTGGTGTCTCTATGGGCAGCTGCATCCAAGTACACATGTACGTGTGTGCATATTCACGGGCACACACACAAAAATAAAGATTTTTTTTTTAAATATAGTTTGTGTAGCTGGGGTGTGTGTGTGTGTGGAAAGTACATTATTGTCCCCGTGTCTAATCCTTAGGCAGTGCACGAGTGTTCCAGCTTCTAGTGTTGCACACTCACAGCGGATATGGCTGATAGCTGCAGAACATCAGTCAGATGGAGATGGGAAAATGTAAGGAAGCAGTAAATGAGTCTGGCTCATAAGCCACTCTTTCTCATAGACTTGTTTGTTTTGAGACAGGGATTCTCAGTATGTTTTGAACCTGTCCTGGAACTTGCTCTGTAGACCAGGCTGGCCTGGAACTCAGAGATCCGCCTGCCTCTGTCTTCCTGAGTGCTGGGAAGACCAAGGACAGTCGTCAGGAACAGGATTCGAACCTATGTGGGGAAACCCCATTGGATTTCAAGTCCAATGGCTAACCACTCAGCCACCGTGACTCCCCTCATAGACTTTTTTAAAGAACAGTTTTGTTCTAAATGCATTCCTTAAAAGAAAGAGTAGTCATGACTACCAGGAGGTTGTTATTCAGCCCAGGAACTTGGTTCTCATTCCTGCAGATAATGGATGCATCATGTAAAATGATCTCAGAAGTTCTGATAGGTTGTTTGCTGAACGTGTACTTTTCAGAGTAGTCTAACAGTTCCATAAAGCCGCCTCCTTCATTATTTGCTTACTGCAAACACACACACAATTTAGGCTAAGGTTTCTTGACATCTATAGATAGGTTGCTTTGTTAGATATTAAAAACAAGCACATGTCTTTCCTGAAACCAAATGTAAAAGGTTGGATAGAGGCAAGAGACCTGCTTATAGTTTCCTTGATGATTGCACCTTTCCTGGTGGAAGAGTGTGGAAAGGAGGGCCTTGGGACTGAGAGAGGAAAGAGGCAGAACTCTCTTTGGAGGACAGTTTTCACTTGGCTGGTGTAGGACTGCCGCTCACTCTGTCTGCTCAGGCAGGGCATCATCTGGGGTGGTGGACTACACAGGAAGCCTTACTCATCATTTGCAGTTAGTAACCTCATGCCCCAATAGAAGCTCTGCTCCAGAGCATGCTGGGCTTTCCCAGGGTTCCACCCTCATGCACAGGAGGTAGTGGGGTCCGTAGTTTTACAGACAGGCTGATACAGCTTCCTGAGCTCTCCAGCTTACAGTTCTCCATGTTTCCCCACACCGCTATGCTCTCCAGTGAGGCATTTAGAAAATGATTCCATAGTTGAAATGAAAAGTCAGAGGTGATTTCCAACATGTAGCTGTCTTTATTGGGGATTTGTAGCTGTTTGGAGTAAAAGCTCATGGTGTGTGTGCCTCTTGACAGCCTAGACTGCAAAAGGCAATCTAAGGGTGGTCAGACATGAATCTAACTCCAGGAAGTGGGAGCATTTAAACCAAGATATTTCTTGACTCTGATGGAAAGCACAAGCTGCTGCACATGCTGCCAGATGGGTAGATGTCACAGGCATGTGCAATAACGAATGTGGGGTTTCACATACAGCTCACCCTGAGAGATGGAAAAGCCAGCTGGTCCTTGGAAGACATACACCTCTCTTTGTCCTTTTTGTCTGCAGGGGGGCTTCTCCACTTTGCAACACCCATGGATCCTCTGTTTCTGCTCCTTCACTACCTCATAAAGGCTGGCAAAGAGGTGAGTGTCCCACTGGGGTGATTGCAGGGAGGGGCAGAAGACATCGCTTGCTTCTCCTTTTCACAGTGCACTTCAGCTATTAGAATATGTGCCCCGTGTGTACTGGTGTGGGCCAGAACACCCTGCCTGCCCCCAAGAAGCAGCACTGAAGTGGTGATTGGATTTGCTACTTGGGTCACTGTGACCTCAGTGGCCTAGCATGCCACTACGTACCTCAGTGGTAGCCATGACTAGCAATGAAAACCTTTAACCACTAAGTGCTTAGATGTGAATGCTAAGAATTTGGCCAGGAGATTTACCTTCGTATGTGAAAGTGTGAGACATAGGTAAGCTGGACTGTGACTAGGATAAAGCTAATGGGGAAGCTAAATATGGTTGGGACTTGAGCATCCAGAGCAAAAGCTCTAATTTCTCTCAGGACTCCATCTCTTGGGGCTTCCCTGGTGATGTCTGTGCTTTGAGGTACAACCGCAGTAACTGGATAAGCACACTTCCTCACACCAGTACAACCACAAAAACGTACTTCCTCACACACAGCAGTGATAACTGCATGCAGGATGCAGATTTAAATAAAATTCATTGCTTTCACTCTTGAGCAAGAATATTGTCTTTCGTTTGTTTCGTTGGTTTTTTTGCTTTTGTTATCGTTGTTGTTCGTTTTAATGTTGTTCGTTTATGTGAATGTGTGAGCATGCGTGTACAGTATGTGTGCCTGATACTCATGGAGGCCAGAAGAGAGCCTCACAGCTCTGAAAACTGGAGCTACAGGCAACTGCTAACCACCATGTAGGTGCGAGGAACTGAATCTGGGTCCTCTACAAGATTAGCGAATGTTCTTGATCTCTGAGCCTTTTCTCTAGCCCCACTGAAACTAGCAATTTCAAAACTGCAAGCATATAGTGTATCCTGGGGGCATTTCGTGTCTCTGCATTAACTCCAGGTAAGGAGCCCAGGTTTGCCCAACGCTTCAGTTAGTAACATCATGTGTCAACCTGATTCAAGTTCAGGCAGCCTCTTAGAATATTATGAATACAGATTTGGGCTTGGGGACCTCTTAAAGGGGAATTAGGGACACTCAAGTGTCCATCAATCAACTTGAAAATTTTTGAGCTCACTACTTTAATGAGTGTTGCCTTAGGGCAATCTATATTTTTTGGATTCTTCATATTTGCATATAAAGTAAATGATTATGGTTCATTTTATTTGGTCTCTAAATCAAACTCTCAAAACTTTATTTTGTATGTTGATCGATTTTAAGTTATTATAAATACCAAAAAATCATAAAACTCACCCAAAGCTTTTATTCCTGCTTTCCCTTGGTACACTTCCTTCTGTCTTTTTATAGTACATTAGTGGAGTCCTGCCCCACAGCTGACTCACTCTGCTCTTATCTAAAAGCTGCCATAATAGCCAATATATTGGGGTACACAACAGTGAGGCTATTGAGCCTCGTGTCTCTAAGCCACAATGGTGGTTCTGGTTATTGCCAGGAAGCTGTAGGAGGATCCAGGGATGGCTTTGAAAACTTCATGTGGGTCACAAGGGTGGTGTTTTCTTGGGTAAATTAACAGGGAGAAAGACACTGGTTACTTGCATCCTTAGTATACAGCACTGCCTTCCCGGGCCCCCTGAGATGCTGTGTGGTAAATTCAAGGTGACAGATGGAGAGTGATGCTCACCAGAGCCACTATGCTCTTTTTCCTAAGTCCTGGAAGTGGAAACACATAGGTGTCTAGTATTTTTTCCCTATATTTTAGATGGGGTCATATCTAAGTTAGTTATTAAAATATTGTCCCTAGTTTTTAATTCGACCTGTTCTTTTTAAATCACAACCTTTAACACTAACCTCTTATTGACTATATTTAAAACAGATTTTTATTTTGCTTTTTTATGTACATGTAGCAAAGGAAGTAAGAATGTAATAGCAATGATAAAACTTCTATCATGACCGTGGTACCATACATGTCAGTACTGTTTAAAGCAACCAAGTATAAAAATACTGGTTAATCATGGAAGACTAACTTTTAAAGTCAAAACCTAAAGACCATAACACTGGGGATCCTGGGTTAGGCAGAAGACTTTTTCAGCCAGGCATTTCTTGCCTCTTTTAGCCTAATGGAAAAATATAACGTGTACTGTGAAAGAAAGAAGAGGATTCACCTTGAAAACCAGAAAATCGATCAGTCACACGTCTGCCTTTAGAAGTTTGGTCACAGAAACAGAGAAGCAGAGATGGGACCCGGACATGCAATGCATCCATTCCTAAGCCTGGCTCCCATATCAGGAGAACGTCTTCATCAGATACGCTTTCCCTCTGCCATTAGTAAAGTTAAGAGAAACTACATCTGGGATCATCTGCATAGCTCACCCGACAGCTGTGTCAGTTTGTCTGTGTGATCATGTTTTAGCCTGTCTATGTCTCTGTACTTACATCATAGTTGCCTTTTTCTTTGGCAGCCTCCACTGATGGCTCCCGGAGGAATGGGTTCACTTTGGAAATTTTTCTTTTTGGAGTAGGGGCCTTTTGGTTTGGTTTGGTTTGTTTTCTTCAGCCCTGGAGGGGAGCAGATAATATATTCCAGGTCTGGTCTATCTGGGCTTGTTCTAGGCCTGTGTGACAGTGGGTACGTCTGCTCTGTGACCTCAGTGGGCTCTTTTTTTCATATGGAGTAGCAGGACCATCTTTTCAGTTCTGTCTGTGTTTACCTGGGGTCTTCTGTTTCACACAGCGACTGTACCTTGAGGGAGCTAGCTTGCTATTTGGAAGGACCTCCTCATTTGGGCAGAGCTCGGGGTTGGCCCTTGCTATCCCAGTTTAGAAGCCCCTCAGTGGAAGGGGGAGCCCAGATGCTCTTGTGAAGTTTTTCTGCGGAATGGTCCATTTTCCCCCTCTTCTTTTTGTGGAAAAGCTCACTGACTGGACTGTTTGCCACCTACCTGACTGATTCAGATATCCCTTTCAGGGAAAGTACCAGCCCTTGGATCAGGTGGTCGTGGACGACATGTTTCCAGATTGCATCTTGTTGCTGAGATTTCCTGAGCTTGAGAAGTCACTTCGGCATGTGACAGAGGAGAAAGGTATGGTGCACAAGCCTTCAGAATCAGGCTGTGGTTCCGTGGAGACCTGAGAGGTGGAGAATGTTCTGGAGAGGTTGAGATGTCACAGTCATCAAAATGGAAGTGCAAGGGAGCCTGAGCTTGGGCAATGGAGCTAGAGGTAGGGAAGCAGCTGTTTTGATGTAGAGCCATCCGAATCTGGTGATGTTGGGGTACTCACGTGTAGGAGGGAGTCAAGCGACTCTGGACTTGAGCTTCGAACTAGCCCCGAGAACATACACTCTGGCATCCAGGAGATGGAATGTGGACCAGAGGAGCAGGCTGGGGAGTGAAGAGCATACTCACAGATACTAGTCGCAGGTGTTTTGAAAGGAGGAAATGAGCAACATGCATGTGGGTGCATATAGTGATGCGCTTCCTAAAGACAGTTTCATCCAAGTATATCGTGGATTTTGAGACTCATGCAATACGCTGAATAAGAATGGAAAGCACCCACCCTTACCTCATTCCCAGTTTTAGTGGAGATACTTTGAGGTTTCCTCATTTAGTATAATGTTAGCCGTGTCTGTCATGCATGGCTTTTACTGTGCTGAAATATATCCCTTCTCTAGAGTCTTATTTCTTCTTCAGAAGAAGATATTGGGCTTGTCAAAGGTCCTTTCTTCCATCTGTTGAGAGGATCATGTGATTTCTGTACTTGAGTCTATTTAAATGTTGTTTTTAACTGACTGATTTGTATATGTTTAACAAAGGTTGCATCTGGAATGAGGCTCACTTAGTCATGAATGATCTCTTTAATGTGCTGTTGAATTGAGTTTGCAAGTGTTTTGTTGAGAATTGTTAGAGCCATGTTCATTACTGGTTGGTAGTTCCTTTTTGTTTTATCCCTATTCAGTTTGGGTATTGGGGAACTGACTTAATAAAATAGGTTAGTTGTGCTTCTTTCTCCATCTTATGCAGTACTTTGAGGGACACTGATGATACTTCTTTATCACTGCATGAGAATCCAGCAGCTAGTCCTCTGGGTCTGGGTTTCAGTTGGCAGACATTTTATTATTGCTTCAATTTCTTGCTTATAACTATGTTTCTTATCTGTAGATCTGTTAAGTTGTTTATATTCTCTGGTTTAATTTTTATAAGTCACATATATTTAAAAATTTAATCATTTCAGGATTTTCCAATTTACTGGAATATAGGTTTTCAAAGTGGTGATCTTTTGAATTTCATGGTATATGTTGTCATGTCTCTTTACTTCTTTTTCTTTTAGTTAGAGCTTTGTCAATCTTATCTTCTTTTATTTCTTTGAATCTTTATTTTCTTTTCATTGTATTTCATTTCTGCCCTGGTTTTTACTCTTTCTGTCTAATGATTTTGGTTTGTTCTTTTTAAAACATGAGGTACATCATTAAGTTATTTATTTGAGATCTGAGTGGTGTTTGTTTATTGGTAATGTAGGCAATTTTAGCTATAAATGTCCAGAGCTTTTATTGGATCCCACCCACAGTTTCTAGTATATCATGTTTTCATTTTCATTTGTGAATGTGTTTTATCAAATTAGAAACACTATGCAGATGGTGTCAATATCTCAAAAATCACCCAAATAATTTCAGAGTTACAGAAAAAAAGAAGTGTGAGCACCAGAACATGCTGTTAATTTATGGTGGTTTAGGGCCACAAGTGGTCTGGCAGCTGTGACAGTTCTTTTGGAACCAAGAAAATAGTGACTCCAAGAAGCATGAACTTACAGTAGGGGAAGCATTGGGATTGGGAGAGATCTGCTAATTCCAACCTAGTCACATTTGGGGATCCATTTTCGATCTGAGATATAGTGTATAACACCAAGATTGTAAGAGTCATCTCATTGAAGGTCCTCCCTGATGCTGTGTTTGAGATGGACAACTGTCTTTTCATAGATGAAGTTGCCCATAACCATTTTTGAATGCTAAAGTAATAAAGATAATTACAAGTCATTTTAAGTTTTTTCATTTTACTGTGAGTTGAAAATGCAGTTAACTTGCATCCAGAATTCTGCCATTAGTGCTGTATTAAAATGGTCATCTTGAATCAAAACTTGGAAACCCACATCTTGAAGTGGGATTAGTAATCCCTTGCTCTAAGTCTGTCTTCGAGCAGCACACCCCACCCATGTGGTCCCATTTGACACAGATGTTGTGTCTTTGGCTGTCTGTTGCTGTTCCTTTAACTTCTCAACATTGCCTAACACATTGACTTGTACACATAAACTCAGGTTTCTAGAACCTTCCATCTCAAATTGTGTGTGTGTGTGTGTGTGTGTGTGTGTGTGTGTGTGTTTAAACTATAGCAAAGCAGAGCAAAGTGATTCCATTTACACACCATTCAGAAAGAATATCTGGTACCCTAGGGGTTTGGGGTTTTCCTTCTAACTGACCTTCCCATAATGAACAGTAGTCTGTAAATTTGATGTAATAGAAAATTGAAAACCTTGAAATCGGAGAAAGAAAAGATGCCTGAAGACTTCCCATACCTTGTCTTCTGGAAGAAAACCCTCCGACAGAATACACCAGAGTAGGTCCACACTGCTGGCCTGGCTCCTGCAAGAGTGCACACAGAGATTGTACTGTCCATCGCAGCGTGGTTCCCATACGACTGTAGGGAATGTCCAGTTTTGCATCTACAGCTGGCTGTGAAAGTCTTATCAAATGTAACCACATGACATTTACTGTATAGAATATAGATCTTCACAGTAATTTTTGTCATTTTTACAACCCAAGGCACAAAGCTTAAGTAATGTGACCACCATTACCAAGAGTGTAGGGATAGGATTGCCTTCCTTGTTACAGCCATGTAATACTGCAAGATAGCCTACTGGAATCTTTAGGTATTACAGTGTTACATTCCATCTCAACAATTGCCTTTTATGGAGGGGGGGGGGACTTACAGGAGGGAGGCAGAGAGTGTGAAGATGGCTTCAGGAGCACAGACACTTGTCTGCCCTGGAGAGTGTTCCAAGGCCAAGGCATGGTACAACTTCCAGGTCATCTTCAGTGATTGTGTTAAGTAGTGTCTGCTTATTAAATTTGAATTCCTCTATTATAAATGAGTGTTTGGTTCTAGTCTCCAATGCTTACTTATTCAGAGTTCCCATCTCTATTGTGAATGTCAGCATTGGATGCAGGTTGCAGTCTCTTGGTGTTAAAGATCAGGTTGAATCCCGTGGATACATAAGAACTTTCTGTGCTGCCTTCTCCCTGATGGAAAGCCACAGCCACAGTCCCTTTACAAGAGGCCTGTGCCCTGACTGCGTTGTCAGGGGGGCAGTGCTCTCATCTAGTCACTGACTCAGGGTCTCAGCATGTTTCTCAGCAAAGAGGCTCACAATTACTGGAGAAGACACAGGAAAGGACTAATAGCAGGCCATGAACTTGGCCTTGACTGAGACACTTTTTCATAGTACAAGCCAGAGCTGGACATGTAGTTTACAGGCAGGTAAGGGAAACTGACTAGTGCAGTTGCCAAAATTCTAACCCAGGAGGCAAGGGAAGTGGTTCTGCAAGGTTGTGGAAAACCTTGAGAAAGAAGAAATGAAAATGTGCTCTAGGCAGCTTGTTCAACAAGTGATTGAGGGAAATTCAAGTTTGCACATGAATACCCAATTACTAATATGTTATTTAATCATAAAATTACTTTTTAACCTTTATTTTGTAAACTCAGTCTTTCCAGATGCCTGAAGCTGATTTTAGAAGCACCAGATGCATAAAGGAAATAAAACTTTATCATATGCACATATTGTCTAACTTCTATTTACATTATTGTTACATATGCATACATACATACATACATACATACACACACACATACACACAGCCATGTATACATAAGTGAATATAACCTGTTAAGACATTTGGTGGTGCTCATATATGTCTGTATTGAGGGAGTGGATAGGGAACTTGTACCTGGAGTAGGACGGACTGATTCTCCTTCTTTGAGGAGTTAATTGCCTGCAGCTCTGTCTTTATGGGGCCTTGTGGAATGTCAGGTGCTGGTAACCTTTTCAGGTCATGTTTAGACAAACATACTAATATTTCATGGGTGCAGTTCCCGTCATAGGTAGGAGCTATTTTACACGTGTTTTCCTGGCCCTCTGACTGTTACATTCCTCCCACCCCTCCTCCAGGATGTCCCCTGAACCTCAGGTATAGGGTTATATTGTAGACATGTCAGTTGAGGACCCCATAGCTCTTCTCTGCATTCTCATGAGTTGTGACTGTCTGTGATAGTCTCAGGCCTGCTGTGAGACAAGTTTCTTTGATGAGGTGAGAACTACACTTGCCACATTGAACTAGACAGGACCAATGCATATATTATTCACAGTTATAGGTAGTCTGTGGCCTATGTGAACATTTTCATCCAACTTGTTCTTCAACATTTATAAATTTTAAAATTAGCTCTGGTTTATCCATTGGGTCTTACAGAACATTCTAAAATATAGTGAGTGTCTTGTCCTGGGAATATTTAACTTCAAAATTTATGATGTGAAAACTTTATAGATAAAAAGTTGGCTTCATGATAAATTATATTTTACTTTAAGGAAGAAATAATACTTGGGACAAGACTATTTGCTCAGACATTTTCAGCAAATAGATGAGGAAGGAAACTTGTGAAACTAAAATTTTTGTGAGATCAGAAATGGTCCCAATACCAAATTAAAGTTGTTATAAAAAGAAAACTAGACTAACATCTTTGGCCATCACAGACTCAAAAAGTAACAGAATATTAAAAACAACAACAACAAAAAAAAAATAAAAACAAGAATACAAAGTCTGCTGAGCATTAGAAAGTTAGAATAATTCTGAATTTCTGTGTTATAAAAGAAAATTGTGATCATGTCAGTAAATACAGATAAACAAAATTCACCATGAAATACATTTGAAGTGAGCTTTCTCATTCTGATAAAGACATCTGTGGCAGACTCCTTACATCACCTTTGTAAGAGATTGAATACACTTTCTCCTTTAGACCACCTCAGACAAGGATCTCTGTTTTCATTTTGGCAGAAGGCTTAGAAGGCTCAGTAATATGAGAGATAGAAGGAAGGCACTTGAGGCTGACCATGAAACTGCCTGTCTTCATAGACCCACAAGAAAGTAGGACGTTCAAAAAGCAGGCTGTTGAGATACAGTCACTTACAGATAGCAGCTTTGTGTATGTAGTCATGTGTTGTGAAAGCTCAGTGTGAGAAGGGGCTTTTGAATCCAATATTCATATGAAAGTAATGGGCATTGTCAGGAAAAGTAACTCAAAGGAGCTTGTTAAAGTAAATGCAAAAGTAAAGATGATTAACTTCTAGAAGAGAAAAAACAAAATCTGTATGATCCTGAGGAACTACAGTATTTCTTAAGCACAGAAGCGCCTCTATAAAAAAAAGTGTATGCTGTATTTCATCTAGTAAATAGTAGTGTCTTTTTTTTTTTTTTTTTAAGCCACAGCTATGACCACTTGGCAGTTTTATGTGACTCAGGAATTCTACTCCTAATTATTTTTATCTAGGCATATTAAAATGTATATCAGTCATCAGTGTAAAAGCTTGAGTGTGGATGCAGCCTCTCTTTTGTTTTGTTTTAAATAGCAACTACCCCCAAAATAGCCCAAAAGTAGAATGAATCTATGGCTGTCTTCCATGGGTCACAACTGTAGTGTGTAAACAGGACTGTACTGTACCACAGTCCTAAGGAGGGAGCTTCTGCAGACAGCAGCAGGGATACATCTCTCAGAAACTGTTGCACACACTCTAATCTGCAGGACCCATTTCTATGACACTCTAGAACAGCAGTTCTCAAACTGTGGGTCAAGACTTCCTGGACGGTCACATCAGATATCCTACATATCAGATTTTTATAGTATGATTCATAATAGTAGCAAAATTACAGTTATGAAATATCAGTGAAATAATTTTATGGTCACAATGTCAGGAATGTTGAGAACCACTGCCCTAGATTAAAGCTGCAAGGAACCTACCTGGTGCTGAGTGGGCACCTGGGATGGGAGAACTCTAGGTATCCGGGAACTTTAGTGGTGGGGAGCATGTCTTCTGTCTGAGGTGGTTATGATCAGTTGCCCTGAGAGAAGTAACTTGGGAGAGAAATGACTTACTGTGGTTCACAGTTGTGGGTTACAGGCTATCAGAGCAGCCCGAGTGGCAGGAGCCTGAGAGACTACTGGTCACAAGGTCACATTATAGCCACAGTCAAGAGCACAGCAGCAAATCCATGCCTGTGTACGTGCCGGTCCTCAGCTGGCTTTGTCTACTCTTACACAACTCAGGAACATTGAGACTGAGGGTCAGGATCATTTAATAGACTTCTAATAAACTACCCTAGAAAAGCAGTTTTCATTTCCCGAGACCCAGAGGGAAGGGAGGAAGACTCATTCTGTGTGGCTCCCATGGGTCTGTACTGACCATAGGTTTTCTGGTGCTTATAAACATGACTCCTGCAGGGCTGTAGAGAGGCCTGTGGGGAGGAGGAAGAGAGCCTGGTAGTGAAAGTGTTAACAGGGGAGGTCCTGGTATGGAAAGCCAGGTGCATCATGGAAAAGGGAGGTATCATTTACAAGAGTGGGACTCACCCCTGTCAGGGACCAGGCTGAGGTCACAATGAATCTAAATTCTCCTGAACTAGCTATGCGTATATTGGGTCTACATCAAGAGACAGATACATCTGTGCCTTTGGACTTCACTAATCCCACCAGGGAAGCATTGAGTAGATATTAAGGTGCTTTCCCCTGAATATATACAGTGAGTTTCCTGGCTGCCTGCTTTACTTTGATGCCCACTCCAAATCTTGGTATTTCTGTTTTTATTGAAAAAGGACATGGTTTATTGAAAACATTGGAGTAAGCAAGTTCAGACAAAATAAGATTGCTTAGCATGTTAGTTTACTGTGTTTTAGAAAGTGTTTTCTTCTGAGTTGTTTGTTTGAGTTGAGGATTTCTTAAACATCTGCTCTCTTAGTGGTGGTTGACATCTGAGGCACCCAAACTCTGCTTGGGATGTTATTTATTTATTTATTTATTTATTTACTATCTCATGTATGTTCTCAGGTTTCTGTCTTCAGGTTTTGAATAACACAAACTACTATGAAATGGCTTGAAGTTACTGATTTGTATATGTAATTTGCATTATAAGTTTATGACTTGTTAATTTAATTTGTTATACTTTTTTTAATTTTTTAATTTGTTATACTTTTTTTTTAATTTGTTATATTTTTCTCTTAATTCAATGCAGAAGTAAACAGCAAGAAGTACTACAAGTATAGCGCAGAGAAGACCCTGAAGTGGCTGGTGAAAAAGGTATGTGGCCTTGCAGACTAGACAATAAGACCAGATCCGTGACCATTCTGAACATCCAGTAAAGTACCTGTAGAGATCGCAGGATAAACAGAACCTAATTTTCTTTTGATTGCGTGGTCCTGCCCCTGAGTGCCAGGAGCTCTTGTCCTTGGATATTGCTCACATAACAGGTGTCTCTCCCTTCTCACAGTACCTCCCACCATGTTGTGTCAGTTTTAGAAAGCCCATGTGTTGTCATGCAGTACTGTGACCCTTTCTTTAACTCTGCAGCCATCTCATTTTCTGGCTGTTAGTGTCTTAGTCACTGTTCTGTGGCTGCGAAGAGACATGGCCAAGGCAGCTCTTATAAAAGAATGTGTTTAATGGTGTCTTGCTCACAGTTTCAGAGGTTTAGTTCAGTATCCTCGTAGCAGGTGTGTGCCACTGGAACAGGAGCTGAGAGGCACACCCTGATCTTAGGCAGAGAGAAGCAGAGACCGGTCCCGGCCTGGGCTTTTGAACCCTTACTTCCTCCTGCAAGGCCATGCCTAATCCAACAAGGCCGTTCCTCCTAATCCTTTCAAGGAGTTCCCCTCCTTGGTGACTAAGCATTCAAATATGTGAGCCTATGAGGGTCATTCTTATTCAAACCACCACAGCTGCAAAGATCATTCTAGGTGCTTAAATATTTCCTGGATTTCATGTGGACCAGAGGCCATCTGGAAAGCTGCAGCAGTACAAAATTAAGTTGAAAGTACATCCCTGTGTTTACCTTCTAGGTCAACCAAACTGTGGCAGCATTGAAAGCCAATAATATCAATGTGGGAGCCCGGGTACAGTCATCTGCATATTTCTCTGGTGATCAGGTTTCCAGGGACAAGGAAGGTAAGCAAAGGATTGCCCCAAAATTAACTTGTGTCTGCTCTCTGACAGTTTCAAACTATAGAAGCTTCCTGTTCTCCAGTGTAGGCAGGTGTCCCCTCTGATCTCAGACAGTGACAGTTTCCAGCCTCAGGTGGTGCTTGTCACTAACTGTGGATTCAGTCATTTGTTTGGTGAATAGTATTTTATACTAATGGTGATAGTGACTTGGAACACTCTTGCTACCCTTTATAAAGTGTTTGTATTGTGACAGGTAGACCAGGCATGTCATAAGAGGCAAGGTTGTGTTAAATTACTAGCTAGCAAATAGTGAAGCCAGAGGAATGCAATGGAGGCTCTCGGTGAAAGTGTCCTTTGACCTGACCATCATCCTGCCTCAGGGCCCCAGGGGAGCTCATTCCTTAAGTCCCAGTATCTCACCTCTCCTGAGAGAGCTAGAGAGCTCTCCGTGTTCTAGTGAAAATTAATTCACATTGGGAGAAAAAAAATTTTTTTTTGTTTATATTTCCCTCTTTTCTTCCCTTCCTTTCTTCTATCCATTCTAAGAACTGAACCTACAACCTTGCAAACACATCCCCTATGGGGGGATAACTGCCTTAACCTAGAAACAGGAGAGAAGCCCTAGTCCCTACCCCAAATGACCTTTCAGATCTACATGACCCCAACTGAATGGCATTGCCCTACACATGGAATTGGGGTGGGAGGATGGGAGGGGAGGGTGGTTAGGGTGCATGAGAGAGGGCAGAGAGGGTAAAAGGGAGAGAGGGAGGGAGGGAGGGGGAACTGGGATCGACGTGTAAAATAATAAATTAAATAAATAAAAAGAAAGAACTGAACCTACAGTCTTGAGCATGTTAGGCAGATTCTACAACTAAAGGATATCCTCAACCCATTGTGGTGTGGTTGGTGTTGAATACCAGAAGTTTAAAATTAATAATTCTACATTCTGCTGAATCATTTGTTCTTCCTGGTGTGTGTGTGTGTGTGTGTGTGTGTGTGTGTGTGTGTGTGTGTGTGTGTGTGTGTAAAATGCATTCTTCCAAAGCAAATACCTAGGAGAGACAAATCATGTAAATGGTTTTACTTATTTTGTTTTATTTCCTTGAAGAGAGCATATTCATTCCTGGTCAGTAATTAGCTTTCGTCATTATTGAAGCAGGCTTACAAAAATGTAGCCATGAAAAAGAGATGCAAATTGTTCTTGCTGTTGTTACAGCTGGTTTGTAATTTTATTTGTATCTGGGACTTCAACTAAGAAAGCTGGCCTGAGTCTTTCATTGTAAATATATTTAGGACCTCCACTGTGCAGTCACACCTACGGCAGCATCCCGTATTATATCTCATCCGTTGTATTTCTCCTTTACTGACAGGTAGGGCTTAATACCCCCATTTTACCAATGCAGAAACTGAAACTAGAGTGTAAGTGAATTTCCAATGCCACTTAGAACAAGAATTTGAACCTGAATCAGTTTGACTCAAACCACCACTGTAGTTTGTTTACACTTTGGGGGCCTGCCAACCAGATCCCAAATAAATACATGGAGACTTATTCTTACTTATGAATGCAGATCCTTAACTTGGCTTGCATCTAGCCAGCTTTTCTAACTTAAATTATCCCGTTCTCTTTAACTATGTTTTGCCTCTGGACTTTTTGCCTTTATTCGTCTACATAACTTTCTTTCCTTTTTACGCTGTGGCTAGCTGTGTGCTTGGATGGCTGCCCCATCATTCTCCTCTCTTTTCTCACTCCTCACTTTCTCCTCCAGACTTTTCCTATTTATTCTCTCTGTCTGCCAGCCCCATCTATCCTTTCTCCTGCCTTGCTGTTGTTCATTCAGCTCTTTGTTAGACCAATCGAGTGTTTTAGGCAGGCAAAGTAACACAGCTTTGCAGAGTTAAACAATTGCAACCAAAAAGAGTGCATCACATCTTTGTAACATGAAACAAATGGTCCACAGCATAAACGAATGTAGCACATTTTAAACTAGTATTCCACAACACACCACTACAATTATTACTAATTTTCTTCACTCCCTATTCTGTTTCTTTCAGAGGATTACGTTCGCTATGCCCATGGTCTGATCTCTGATTACATCCCTAAAGAATTAAGTGATGACTTATCTAAGTCCTTGAAGTAAGTGTCATTCACCTCCAGTCTGATTCATAAGCTCCTTTGAGCTCATTTCTGATGGTGGGTCCCTCGATGGCATGGCATGCCGTGTCAAATGTGATGAGACATTATCCTTGGGCTGTGTCACACTGTGTGAACGGGAATTGATTTTTAATGGACATTAAGCAGTTAATTTGCGTGTAAAAGTTCTATAGTTACAGGGCCTTCACCAAGTACCTTCGTGGTGCCAAGTGCTCAGGTTACTGCAGAGCGGTGTCCTGAAGGGAGAGCGGTGGCCTGAAGAGACTGGTCGCTCTTCAGGGTGACACTATTTTACAGACTTTCTTTCCCTTGCCAATTTTCAAGATATTAGTTGGTATTAAAGGTGTGTGTGTGTGTGTGTGTGTGTGTGTGTGTGTGTGTGTGTGGTGTGATCATTTAATAGCTTTTCCTGATCCTGATTAAATGCTTTTTCTTTTTTATCGTATAATAGGTGATAATATAGTTGCTACTTACAGCAAATTCCATAGGTCCTGCTGTCCTAGTTTGCTTTCTGGTTCTGATAAAACACTAACCAAAACAACCTGGGGAAGGAAGGGATTCTTTTGACCTACAAGTGTAGTCCATCTTCAAGAGAAACCTGGAGCAGAAACCATGATAATAAAAGACACAGTTTATTAGCTTGCTTATGTAGCTTTCTTATACAGCCCGGGCCCACCCCCACTGGGGATGGTGCTGCCAAAAGTGGGCAGGGCTCTCCCTCATCTATCAAGACAGCACCTCACAGACAGATGCATGCGCCCTCAGTCTGTCCAAGGCAATTCTTCAGTTGAGGTCCCTCTTCCCAGGTGATTCTAGGTGGTGTCAGTAAAAACTACCTATCACACCTACTTCAAAAAACTGTAGTGGAAGCTGGTTTTTACAAGTTACAGTTGGGGACAGCTTCTTTTACTAGCCACCCCTCTGCTTGATGTTTCTCTGGATTCCCAAGCTGCTTGTCTTGATAGAGGGCCTTTGTTTCCTTTCCATTGCTTTTGCTGACTTTTTTTCTTTACACTGAATATTGGGTTAAATATTTTGGATGAAAGGTAATGCAAGCTAAACTACTCTTTGATTGAGAGATGGTGATTTTCATGTGACTTTTCCCAACGGTTACAGTTACTTTTCACTTTTAAAGAAAATGCTAGCATTGTCATTTATGAAGAAGAAAAAAAATGTTCCTTTGTCAAAAATGCAATCGTGGGTAAAAGCAGAGGAACTCACTGCAGCAAAGTGGACTCAACTGGGTCTTAGCTTAGACTTCGCTAGTGTAAGGACTTAAGAGTCAAGATTTCACTCATTCAGTAAAACCGCCTACTTCACTGAGGTGAGCAGGACAGTATGTGAAGGTTGGGGTCCCTTCACCCAATAAGACTCACTACAGCTTCTCTGTTGTCTGTGAGACATGAGACACACCATGACAATGATGCTTATTTTTAACTTTCTTAGGCTTCCAGAACCTCCATCTTCAATTCCAAACCCTCCATCAAAGGTAAGAAACCATGACCAAGATATCTTTAGGGACTTAGAAAACTATTGTGCTTTTAACCATCACTTCAGCCTTTTCTATTCTATTTTAAAGGGAAAAAAATCTGTCCTGCATGACATGGTATAACTTGAACTCTGGATTGTATGACTGTAGATTTTTCCTGGATGTTTGAAACCAAGTTGGTTTTAGCAAAGACATTTCTGTTAACATGTAGAGATTGGGGTAGAGAGCTGACTCATCAGCGATGAGTGCTTGCTCCTTCTGCAGAGAACCAAAATTGGTTCCCAGCACCCATGATAGGTGGCTTACAAACACCTATAACCGGCTCCAGGCCCCGGGGGATTTGTTATCCTCTTTGGCCTCAATGAGCAATGCACACACTTTTACATACACACACGTATACATAAGTAAAAATAAACCTTTACAGACATAAAATTAAATTATTTGTTTATTTATTTATTGCCCCTTGAGATGGGGTTCTCAATATGTGGCTCAAGCTGGCCTTGAACTTCTGCCACAAGTCTAGGATACAGGTGTCTACAGCCATGCTGACTGAAATCTTCTTGCATTGACTACATACAACTGGAAGTCATTTTTCCAAATTTAATTGTCGTTGGCACAAAGGGTCACAGAGGATGATTTTTCTAACACAAAGTTTCCTTTGAGAAAAAGATGACCTGGGTTCTTTTCTGAGTTTGAAAGGAATGTTTATGTGTGATTGTTCTCTGTTAATAGGAACCCTTTGTGTTTGCATTCATGAGTATTTTAAGTGTGTGTGTTCATGTATGTGGTTGTGGGTGTACATCCACATATGCACACATGCTTGTTGTGAAGGCTAGGGGATAGCCTCAGATTCTTGGGGAAACACCATCCACTTTGTTTCCCTCTTGTCTCTTAGTGGCCTAGAGCTCAAGTAGGGCCAGGATGGCCATCATGCCCAGGGGCCCTGCCTGTCTCCACAGTGCTAAGATTATAAGCAGTCACTTTGTGAGTTCTGGAGACAGAATTCCAGTTCTCTTATTAGCATGGCAAGCATTCATCTCTCCAGCCTTTTTGGAATGCCTTTCCCTCTGCAGGATAGTCTCAGAATTGCCACCCTCACTCCTCCAAAGCTTGTGTTCATTTCCCAGATCCAGATGGAGAACCCAGGTGTTGGCTACACCTAGTCACAACTGTAGCCAGCCTCCCAATTCTGGCCAAATCTTAGATCTCTATGTGCTACTCCAAGACGGAAACAAGCACACACCTTGATTGTCTAAGGTAGTGATTCTCAACCTTCCTAATGCTGCAGCTCTTTATTCCAGTTCCTCATGTTGTGCTGACCCCTAACCATATGAATATTTCCTTGCTACTTCCTAACTAATTTTGATAGTTATGAATCATAATGTAAATGCCTGATATGCAAGATATCTGATATTCGACCCCTGTGAAAATGTTATTCAACACCCCACCACCACCACCAAGGGTTCAGGACCTACAGGTCGAGAACTGCTGGTTTAGGGTGTCATCCAGAGACATTTTTCACTCCCATAAAAATTAGTACTAGACAGATCTACAAAAGTTCTCATATTTTTAAGACAAGCTTTATTTATTTTTTATTTTATATGTGAGTATTTAGCCTTCATGTGTGTAAGCATTACACATGTGCAGTGCTTGCAGAGTCCAGAGTTACAGATGGGTATGAGCTGGGTATTGAACGAAGTCCTCTCCAAGAGCAGCGAGTGCTCTTAATTACCAGTTTCATTATTCCAGCCCAGTTTTCACCATTCATACCTTCTGGAATAAAGTATTTCTTCCTTTTCTTTCCTCCCCGTCCCCCACCCATTGTTGTTGTTTTCAGACAGGATTTCATTGTAGCCTTGGCTCTACTTACCACCACACCTGATATTTCCTCCTTCATTTTTAAAGTATTTTAGTTTCGTTTTTCCACTTATTGATTTTTGAGGCAGCATCTCTATATACAGCTCAGGCTGGCCAGGACCTCTCAGTCCTACACCTGCACCTGCAAAGCACTGGGATCACAGCCATGTCCTACCACACCTGCCTGCAGCTACTTTACCCATTGTGCCCTAACTGTTGAATCACAAGCCTTTCTTTTTGTGTTTGTATATATAAGTTAATATGTATATATAAAATTTTAGTCTTCAGGAATTTCATATATCTACATAGTGTGTTTTGATCATACCGAGTAATATATTTCTTTAGTTCGTCCTTTTCTGTTCCAGTTTTGTAGGGTTTTTTTATATCCAAAATTTAACTAATTTGTGGTTTTGTCATTTTTGATTTAGATCCAAGGTCAGCAATTCTTCTGTAAAGGGCAGACTGTGACCTTAGGGTCACAGTGATAAAACTCAAACCATGATTTTAGACCTTCCTAATGCTGTGACCCTTCAATACAGTGCCTCATATTGTGGTGACTCCAACCATGAAATTGCTTCATTGCTATTTCATGTCTATAAATATGCTGCTGTTATAAGTTGTAATGGAAATACATGTTTTCTGATGGTTTCAGGTAACCCATGTGCAAAGGAAGGGGTTGTAACCCACAGGTTGAGGACCACTGCTTTAGACAGTGAAGTAAAGACTGAAGCTGTCACTGCAGACTGAAGCAGACAGTGCTCTAGGTGTCCTGAGCAGACAGTGAGTGATGAGATGGCTCAGCTCTGGTGCTTAATGAGAACACAGCCACCATGGCACACATTAAGTCTGTGCTTCAAGAGAACGTCTTTAATAAAACCCAGCACTGGCTGGATTTGGCCTATGAGCCTTAGTCTGCCAAAATGTTTAGCATCTCATGCTCCTGAGCCCTAGACTATTGACTCCTACTTCTTCTCCATGTGTCCTAGGGATTCTGGGGTTCAGAGGACAATGTACTGGATGATATAGTATAGTTTAAACAGTACAGCCTGAAGCTGGGTGTTATTCCCACCTTTTAGTAACATCTTTAATCCCAAAACTCAGAAGCAGAGGCAGGCAGATCTTTGAGTTTGAGATCAGCCTGGTCTACAAATTGAGTTCCAGGACAGCCAGGGCTACACAGACATCCTGTCTTGATAAAACCAAAAAAAGAAAAAATAAATAAATAAATAAAAATGATTTAAAGACTACAGGCTGTCTCTGACCTTCCTATCTGTACCCAGGAGTTGACTGGCTTTTATAAAGACATGAGTGTTTGCTTTCAGAAGTCTATGCATGTAGTTACAAAGGGTTGCTTAGAACACCACATCTTTACTTATTTGGTGTCTACCCCACACCACCCCACCCCACCCCTTGGTCACATGCTTGCCTTTGCTGAGGCCCAGCTTCCCATCCTGTTAGGTTTTTGATTGGTTACTGTCAACTTGTAGAGCTGAATGCAGTTACAGGGCTCGGAGATGAGTGCTGAAGGCCAGGGGTTGTTGGTCTAGGTAGGGTACACTGCTTCCTTCTCTTCCTAGAACACACCTGCTTGGTCACGTTCTTTGTGTTTCTTTCTGACGTACTTGTTATTTCTCCTGAAGCAACTGCCAAGTCCATAATAATTCAGACTTTTAAATATCAGAATCACAGGAAATACCACATCCTCTTATTTCCCAGTGTATATAACAGAATTAGCATTAAAAACTAGTTACATGAGGAAGACACTGCTTCCCTTCCTTCACTGCCCCCTCCACTTTTCATTCCCTTCCCTTCCCCTGCCTTCCTCCCTTCATTTTTCCTTCCTACCATCCCTTCCTCTTCCTCTTCTTTTCCTGTTCTCCTTTAGTAAACACTAACTTTTTTTTTTTTTGCCAATGTGGGTGTGAGCTTTTAAAGCACCTCCCCTCTTCCTATATACTGAACTTTTGTACTGTGCTGTCCTTGGCCTATGTACCAGCAGTGAACAGCAGATTTCTTTGTTTGACTTTCCAGTGAAGTAAGGTAGTGATTTATAATGCTATCTCTCTGTGATACATTTAAAATTAATGTATTCTTTGACAATTTCATATATATATATATATATATATTACATTCTGCTGGCACACCCTCCACCCTTTCAACCTCCCCTTAGTGCTACAAATCCCCCTTCCTTCCACCAATTCCCACCCCACTCTCATGTTTTTTATTTTGGTCTTGGTTTTGCTTTGTGGCTCACTGGGCATGTGGGCATGGGTGTGGAGCTGTCCTCTGGGCTTAACCAGGACCCCCAATGTTGGCATGAGTGTAGAGCTTTCCTTTGGAACCTGAGTAACTTAACAGTTGCTACATCTCCCGAAGTAACTTCCTTTCTCCACAAAGCCCACCATTGCCTTTAGTTTGTCTAGGTGGGCTAGGACCCACGAGTCCCTCTCCGTCTGTGACTGAATGTTTCCTGGCTGTGTCTTGCCCATCCCCTTTGCAGGCAAGTGCAGCTCTTGTGAGTTCACAAGGGCCACAGTTGTGCCCTGCTTGTAAGACTGTGGTCCCTGGCCTTCCTCACAGTGCTCTAGGGCTTACATGTTTGTCTTCTCTTCAGTGGTGCTCTCTGAGCCATATAGGAATGTGGGTAGCCCATGTAAGGCTGAGAACTCAATAAGCCATTTGTTCGCCCCAACTCAGACTGCTCCATAGAGAAGCTTCTTTGGTTAAGTAAGGCTAAGGGCAGTACTAATCTCGAATCATCTCTGGCCTATTGCCAGCTGACCTATTGCCAGCTTCTGCCCAGTTTCCGAGCACCTGTGCACCCAACTCTGAGTCAGTGGAGAAATACTTGCTGTAGAGAAGGGACACAAACATCTTTATGACTTCAGGCTCAACCTTCATATTGCCAGCTGTCAGCTCAGCTCTCCTGGCTGAAGGGCCTGTCTAGTTCAGGTTCCTCTCCACACTCTTCTGGATGGGAAGGTGTATTCTTTTTTCATTTTATCTTTTGAGACAGTCTCATTTAGTCTTCCAAGGTGGACTGCGACTCACTCTGTAGCCCAGGTTGACCTTGAACTCATGGCAGTCCACTTGTCTCTGCCTCCTACATGCCAGGATTGCAGACATGTGCCACCACACCTGGCATGCATCCATTTACTTTATCCTGGTGGGTCATTATTGTACAGTAAGCCAACCTTTGCTGTTGATGATTCCTTTGCTAGAGATTGCTCTGTGGCCAAGAAAAACTTCCTCTTTCTATTGCTGATGGCAAGGACTTTCAGAGGTTCCCTGTGTCTTCTCTCATGTCCTGGGGGCTGCGAGCAACAGTTCTATCAGTTCTTCAGCCAGCAAATGCAGAATATGAAGGAAGCAGGGATGAGGCTGCATTTCATAAGGGCACTGGTGCTGGCATGTATGTATCTGCTATTTCCACGAAGAGCTTAAAAATCCAGGTGTGATCACATCGCAATCTGCACTCTGTACAGCACAAGGCCATCCACTCTGCTTTCTCTGAGAAGACTGATGTGACTTCCTTTCCACTATGGCACAGCTCAGACCACAGAATTCTCACATGCATAGTATGCATAGGTGCAAAGGGATCTTGTGAATGGTGAAAATATGTGAAGGTTTAACATAGCTGCACTGTGCCCAATGAGCACAGAATGTGTATGAAGACTATTAACACCCACACACATACACATACAAGCCTAATGGACAGATGTGTCTGGAAATTAAGATTAATACACACACACACACACACACACACACACACACACACAGGCCTAATAGACAGATGTGTATGAAGACTGAGATTAATACACACATACATAGGTCATTTAAAAAATAGATACGAGGCAGAGACTGCAGGATGGCTCAGAGGATAAAGATACTTGCTGCAATCTTGAGCTCCTGAGTATGATCTCTAGAGAGCCAAATTCCTCAAGTGTCCTTTCTCTTTCACACATGCGATATGCACATGCTCATGCACGCACACAAATAAATAAGCGTATTTGAATTAGTTTTTATTATTCATTCATTTTGAGATCTGGCTCCTAATCCTCTGATACCACCTGGAGTTTTGTTTAGGTTCCCTGTCCTCTGGCTGCTTGCTGTACAAGATTTTTGTATGAATGAATGGGGAAACCGAATGGAACAGAAAAGACAAGGTTCCACATGTGCTAAGTATCTGGTGACAGTCATGCTGCCTGCGTTTGGTAGTGGACATTAGAGCAGGATGGGGCTGAATGGAGTGAACCACCTGGCAGCAGGGTCCTAAAGGGGGACTTTTGTCTCCAACTTCTATGCCTTTTATTTGGCCCCTCAACTGCCCTTGCAGTCTGTAACCACCTAATGCCTGACGCATACAAAGAGGGTTTACATCATCATTGAAGGACTGAGGGAGACAGGTCGTGTTCCTACTCAGGTGTGGCCCATCACCACCAAGGCTGTTTCTCGGAAGAGACAAGTGGCTTCGTCCCTGAAGTTTTGTCAAAATGTGAAGGAGTCTGTGAAGTGTGAAGGTGCTGGAGTCCTCTGGGTCCCCAGGGTCCAGCTGTTTGTTTTTAGTGGATGGTGAGAGGATGGTGTCTGACACTGCTTTGCTGCTCTAACATTGCAGAAACTAAAGGTATCAGATGAGCCTGTAGAAGCGAAAGAAGATTACACTAAGTTTAACACTAAAGACTTGAAGACTGGCAAGGTATGTGTGTCCAGGAGTACTCAGCGGCCTCACATATCCAAGGATGGTTGCATTTCTAACATCATAATTCATTCACAGTTATCCAGATAATGACTGTTAGATTAGTACATTTGCAAATTCAAGAAAAGCTTTGGGCATACAGAAAGGGCTTTAATTTTGCTATGTGTTAGTAGAGAAATGGATGAAAGGGAAACAACTTCTCCAGGAATTGTTTTCACTCCTATTGCCAAGAAGATTTCCAGAAATTATAGTAAATAACAAAGGTACAGTTTCCACCATTGAGCATTCAACACATAGATGTCTTAGATGTCTGCCCAGTGACGTTTCTTGCTGAGTTTTATCTTATGCATGCATCATGAGTAACATGCTGCACTTATTACCTAAGTCTTGGTTCTGCCCTTTCATTTAATGTTATAAGAGTGTGGGCCATTAAACCTCCCTGGCTACACTGGGCCTGGCACAGTCACGTGATTTTACCGGTTCCTGTGTTGGAACATTCAGATTATCGGCAGGCTGGTTTGCTTTGGTGAAAGGGAGGCGTTCTTATTTAGTCCTCTACTCTGACCACTTCATTGCCCACAGTTTAGAAGACCCAGCTCAGAGAACATCAGCCTTTTCAGGCGATTCAAACTGACAGCTAAAATGCTTTCCAGAAATGCTGTAACTCCCAAACACTGCCTTCGAGGGTCCTGTGTCTGTGCCTGCACCACGTGTTTCTTGTACTTTTGATATTTTTGCTTGTCAGACAAGACATTTTCTTAACTAGAAAGGTCTGTTTTCTGAGTTGCTCGTTGGTTCTTTGTATTGTGTGACTGTCAGTTGGGACCCTTGCCTGTTTCTCTGTTATGATAGCGATGCTTTTTAGTTGGTCTATGGGAATTTACTCTGAATTAAGGCTGGTAACTTTTCATGACACATGCAAGGCACAAGAAAATCTCCAGTGTATTTGTAGCCTTTTTGCTTGATTTATACAGTTATAATTTTTTTTCTGAGGCTAGGTATATAATCTATATACCTTTATGATATTTTTCTGTCTCTTTTTTTTTCTTTGTGCTCACCTATCCCAAGACAAGTTATCTCCCACTTAGAGTTTAGCATTGTATAGTCCTTATATTGTTTACTTTTTCAATTTTATTTCTTGGGCTTTGGTAGCAGAAGTAGTTCCAATTTTAAGTTTTGTCCAGATAGCTCATTCTCTCAGTGTTCCATGTATGTGGGGACACTAAACCTCTCTGGTGGAAATCTTTTTGCCCAGTCTTCCATGGAAAGGCCATCCACTTCCCAGTGGTCACACCCTACCATGGCACTGGAGAGAGTTAGTGACTAGGACCAGATAGAAATTTCCAGGGCAGTGTGATGTGGAGTCGGCTGCTTGGAAAGCATTTATTTCCTTTTGCCACCACAGTGGGACAGCTAGGCTCTTTGCCGGCCATCTTTTGAATATGACAGCCCTGCCCTTGGCTTTCTGTAGAGCATAAACAAAATCAGATTGTGGATTGTTCATCACTGGGTAAAGAGCACAGGCTGTAATTCCCCAATAGTTGCCACCATTGCCTATATCATTACATTTAGTGCACCCTCAAAGTGATCCCTGGAGGGAACCATCCTTGGAGCATTCCAACTCCTCAGGGTGGGGCAGTTTTTCTTTAGAAGTCTGGATCCTGAGTAGGTAGCAGGCTTATTTTCGCTCCACCACTCATGTCCCCACTGAACTCAGACTTGTGCGATTTACATGTGTGGTGATTTACAAATACTGCAAATCTCTCTTATTTTTATTAACAGAAAAATAGCAAAATGACTGCAGCTCAGAAGGCTTTGGCTAAAGTTGACAAGAGTGGAATGAAAAGTATTGATGCTTTTTTTGGTGCAAAAAATAAGAAAGCTGGAAAGATCTGAAGCGGTGAGAATAAAATCTGATGAAGCAGAAAGAGAAGTTGCCTCTTGCTTGTTTTGTCTTCCCTCTCCTTGCCACTGCCATCCCGACCCTTAGTCACTCCGCTGACAAACAGGAGACGTGGTTTTCAGATCCTGCCAGTAACTTGCTGGGGTTTGACTTTGTGTCTAACAAACTATGGGCAGGTGATTGTGTGAGCTACTGACTGGGGGCCCTGGAATGTTTGCCATAATCACCACTTGCTTAGGAAGGTTCGAGTGATGGCCGCCTAGTCTCTGCTCCCTCGTGTGTGGCGTCTACTGAAATGAAACTACAAAACTGTACAGTTTGGTAAATCTTACAGTTAGCTGTATTTTTGTTTGTATGAATTCATGTTCTTTGTATAAAAAAAGTATAAAAATAAAAAAGTACACTCTCATCTTTCTGTTATGGAGACACAGGTAGATACTTTTCTTAGAATATAAAATATTTTCAAGAACTAACAGTACTTTTGTTGCTTGTTATACATTGTTATTCTGTGAGCATTTCCCCAGCCTCCTGGGTATTCATAAATAGGCTGTTAAAGTCTGAGGTAGAATTGAGTGGTGGTAGGGGATGCCGGGCACTTGCCTTTCATGCTTGAGGTCCTGGGTTCAGTCTCCGTTACTGCCAGAAATAAACACAGGGGTGCTTATTTTAGATTACAGTATAATTTTCAATTATTTGGATATTTAATCATTTAATAACCATTTCCCTATAAGACTCCTGCACCTAAGGCTCAGGGGTCATCAAGAAAAGGACAGGACAGGATTCTGCTATCAGAGTATCTCCTAGAAATGACAGGAGAGCTTTACCTTTGAAATCTTACCAACATGGCTGCCCAAACCCGCTCCACATGGGGCCACACCAATAGACATATTGCAGAAAGAGTAAAGGGGCACCCAGCCCTAGACAACGCACTACAGGCAACCGAGGAATGCTGAGAGCTGAAGAAGTAGTCCTTTCCAAGGAAGAGCACACCCATTATTAAATATTAAGTGGTCAGCCCTGAAAACAGACATGCAAATAACCGTATAAGTATTGAGCATGTTGTATTTATGTATTTAGGAATGTTTGTGTATACATATTAAAGAAAATTAAAGAAAAAGCGGTTATGAATTTGAGAGAGAACAAGGAGGGATATATGGAAGGGGTTGGAGAGGAAAGGGGGAAATTATGCAATCCTAATTTAATTTTAAAAGATACTTTAAAACCCTTTTTATTTTCTAACTCTTTGGTATTTGCAGTGCCATAGTAGATGTAAATATTTGTCCACATCTTTTATTACTTCTTGAAAACAGTTTAAAATGTAGGCTTACGGGTTAAAAAATAAGGTTTCATATATATATATATATATATATATATATATATATATATATGGAAATATATATATATATATATATATATGTTTGTGGAAACACATTTCACAAAAAGGTTAACAAGCAGTGTGTATGGTTTCTTAGGTTAAGTAAAAGGCATCTTACTATGAGTTTTAAATTGTGTGTGTGTGTGTGTGTTATGTGTATATGTGAATTCAAGCACAAATGTGCCATAGCACACATTGTCAGTCAGAGGAAACCTCAGGTGTAATCTAGTTCTCTCCCCAGATAGCTTTTGCATTTGGCTCTGTCTAAGTGTGGGCATGTAATAACTCCTTTAATCCCCATAGCAACTAGAGTTGCTGAACAAGGTGCCATAGGATCTGGTAGCAGGAGGAATAGCTCAGTCTCGGAGCCCAGGGAGTTGTTTCCAGAAGCCTTTGCTCAGATGTAGCCAGGATAGAAACGTGGACTGACAAAAAGAGTTGCAGAACAAGTGTGAAACAAGTATTAGGTTTGTTAAGGAAAATACAGGCGTGCTTAGATATAAGCGTAGGTGGACAGCAAGAAAGACTTAAGGACCTCAGTTGTGTGCATGTGCGTGTGTGTTAGTGATGTCTTGAGTTGCACTGATCAAATGAGATATAATGTATATGTTTCAAAAGATTAAATAAAATGTTTCATTGTGTTCATTTTTAATTTAGAAATGTTTTGCCTTTGGGGAAGGAGACTTTAAGATTGATTGGCTACCACACCCAGGTTTCTGTGTGGGTGCTGGGAATCAAACTCATAAATGTGCATTTATGGGGTACATTGTGCAGGTTAGTGCTGTGAAAATAAAAAACATCCAAAAAAAAGTCAAAAGAACTCTTACTAATGTATGGGTCACAGAGAAGCTCCGGTACTGTACCTCTTTTGTTTGTAAATATGGTTTGTGATTTTATTCATGAATGTTTTTCAAAACTTGACACCTGTAAGAACTTAACACTTTACAAATACCATCAGAGTGCAAAGGCCTTAACCATGGTGTGTTGGCCGCCTTAACATTCTTGTTTGAGAAATCCCTCAGAAAGGGGACTGTTGCCTCTATGCAGGTAGTTTTCATGTGGTTTTTGTTGGGTTTTGGCTAGCTGTGGTAAAATTCTTGACTTGCAGCCCACGAGAGGCTTAAACAGGATCCAGAGAGCGATGGCTCTTTTCCTTACTCATTCGTGTTGCTGTAAGTTTCCCGTCTTTCTGTCTTGCCTTAATGAAGCTCACTTCTCTTGCCCTGTGGAGGCCATCTCAGCAGCAGGAGCTGTGCGATGCTGGGTTCCTTGTCTTCACAGTCAGTCCTAGGCAGAGCGCATGCAGTAGTGAGATGTTCAGCACATCAAAGAGAGGTTGTTAAAGGAGTGGAACTCGGGAGCTAACCAAGGCTCTTTCCTTCTATGTCCAGTCTTATCCAAAATCAAGTTTTCCCCAGTTCTTTCCTCTTCTTGTTTGTCTTTGTTGTTTGAGACAGGGTCTTATGTAGCCCAGGCTGTCCTCAACTTGACCATGTAGCCAGGGATAGCCTTGAACTCCTCATTCTCCTGCCTCCACTTTCTGGGTGCTGGGATTATAGGTGTGTGCCATGACACTCATTCATCTTTTGAGGTTTACACTCTGGGCCCTAAACTCACAAGGCGATTCTCCATAAGATGAGGCTGACGTCCGGGGAACTGCTCTTTTCCATCAACTTCTGTTGTGCAGTTTGCTGCAGTGCACTCTGAGAACCACCATTATTTCTCCCACTTTACAGTTGAAAGGGGCAGGGCCACAGCCAATAAATAACAGCAGCATGTGACCTTAGGTCCTGACTCCAGACTCTTTCCCACCCAACATCCCTTCCCCAGCCTATGGCTGTATCTCAGATACCATCTACTCACCCAGCGAAAAAGGTAGCCCCTTTTTACAGCTTAGGGATTGACTGTCTTCCTCTATTTGTGAAGATGACCCAGCTTGATTAAACTTCTTATGTTTTCTCCCAAACATTCCTCCCCCCAGCACTAACCTAAAAACGTATTGTGAGCATACCCTGTTACAAAGCCTTTTCTGAAAGCAGAGTGCAGCTCCCGGGATACAGCAGAAGGACATTCCCTCATCACTTGGAAGACCTGATTTGTCTGAATAATTGGAAGGATTCCATTTTTATACCTTATGCACTGAGATGTACACACTCCCCAGGTTTATGTACTCTCTGGGGCCATCAGACTGGACCAAAGTTCTAGCTATGTTTAGTAGGAGTCTACAGTTTCCATAGCAACTACATACCTTTTTTTTTATTATTATTAATCTTTACAATTATCCAAAGAAAGATACTGCCTCTGTTTTACAGGTGCCCAAAGTGAGGCAATACAGACTCTCTGTAGCAGGACTAAAATAGCATCCTTCTGGCTTCCTCAAGGTTCTTACACCAGACTCTGTGGAGCTTATAGCCATTGTACCACTTGTTTACTATTACTGTGATGAACTGCAAGACTGAGAGCAACTTGAGGAAAATTTATTTCATCCTACAGCTTACAGTCCATCGTAAAAAGAAGTCAGGGCAGGAACTCTAGGCTGGCACTGAATAAAGACCACAAGTGCTCACCAGCTCAGGCTGCTTCCTGACACACCCGGGACCGCTTTCCCAGGGGTGGCACAAGCTTCAGTGGGCTGGGTTTTCCCACATCAATCATCAATCAACAAAATTTCCTACAGGTTTGCCTACTGACCAATCTGATGAAGGCATTCTCTCAATTGAGGTCTCTTCTTCCCAGATAGCCCTATCTTGTGGCAAGCTGAAAGAAAAAATGAAATAAAACAACCCAACACAGCCATTGTTGTGTGGCTTTCCCTGAGGAGACATGTGCAAACATCTAGTCACCCTAGACACAAGCTAAAGATGACGCCACTCATGCATAGCCTTGGAAAGCAGTGAGTTTTAGGGGTTACTTACAGAACTGTGAGTGGGGGAGTCCTTACGGACCATGGATGACTCAAAGGCAGCTGCATCATGAAACAGCCCACTCAACATGAGTGGCCACTCAAAACACTGCATTCCGGAGCTCCCTGAAAAAATGCAGGCTCCTCACCCCAGCAGTTGCTGCAGTTTCTATAACTTTGCCCATTGCCTTGTGAACCTAAATTTTAGGAACTTCCTGAGATTTGTGAATTTTATTTACTTCCCGAGTCTGCCTTCCAGAAAGACATGTGAAGGGAGATCCTAATTGGTCTTAATAATAACCTGGAGTCAGAGATGGAGGGTGAAAACTGAAAGATCAGAGAAACAGCACAGCAACCATACAGAGTTCTTACCTTTACGAATCCTCAAACTGAGTGGGTGATCCTGTTTCCAGCCGACTTATATTCCTGTCTCCACTTCCCATGTACTGGGATCAAAGGAGTGAGATTCCCAAGTGCTGGGATCAAAGGTGTGTGCCTCTAGGGCCTGGCCTCTCTGGTTAATTGGTGGCTAGCTATGCCCTCCGATCTCCAGGCAAGTTTTATTTGTCAGAACATAAGCAAAATATCGTACAACAGACGTGTTTCAGTTCAGAGGAATAGCTGCACAATAGCCATTTTCCCTAAAGTGGTTGTTTTATAATGAAGTTACAAGTTTGTAATAGTAAAAAATTAAGAAAGGGGAAATTACACATACTCTGCTTTATCTTCTAGCAAGTTCTGTTCTACGGGTCA